GAGGTTTTTCTTTGTCTCAGTATTCGCAGAACTGGAGCGAGGACAGCTGCCACAGACAGTCGGCGTGTTACCCCCCTAAGGGATGCAGGAGAAATGCTGAAAGAAATTAGGAACATGGCAGTAAAAGGCACTGGCAAAATCGGTGTTGTGTGAAGATTGAAAGGGGGGAAATCCCAAAAGGGGGAAGAGTGGAGGCAGCCTGTTTTTCTTGTTGCAGGTGCCTAAAGGAGGGAGGGAAGGTGGGTAGACAGCTTGGTAACAAAACAGTAGTGACGAAATAAATGCCTTAAAGCAGGAGTGTGTGCAAGACCAGGATACACCAGAGGCTGTTGGAAAGGAGGACCAGGTGGAGAGGCCTCCATGGAGCAGGTACAGCCCTAGGAGCCATGTAAGAAGGGGCCCTAGGCAGAGTCCCCAGGAGGATCCACACCTCGACAAGCCAAAGAAAGAGAAGCTGCTTTCTCTGGGTCTGGCTGGAGAGCAAAGACAGATGGGATGGGGGACTGAGCAGCTCAGGGAGCTGTGGGAAAACACTGAGAGAGAGAAATACAATGGCTACAGGATCAGATGAGTGGAGAGGGTAAGCATGGGGAGCAGCTCTGTTAAAGAAGTAAGCTTGTGGTTCTGGGGGAGGGGGCTTGAAGAAGAATTAGAGAAGTCACATCACCAGGAGTGTTATCACAAGAAATAGGAACTGTGGGGCTAACAGCTCTGTTTGCATGGCAGCAGAGAGCAGGGAAGAAAGAGACTAAGGAAGATGAGGATGGGGAAAGTGAACCAGTAAAATGAATGGAAAGGGATCTCTCACTGACAGGCAGTCAATGGACCACCCTTGTCAAATACTTAGAAAGCCAGGTTCAGGTTGCAGTGCAGTGGCCACAAATTCTGCCCTCCTGATCCTTGCATGGAATGGTGTGAATGACATTCACTGCAAATGGGCAGTGGTCTGGTTTACAGCCAGGTGATATTGATCAGTGCTGACACCTTTGAAGCCACCCAACCTCTCCCTTTGCATTTGCTCTGGGTGACACCAGGTACCTGGCTTGAAATAAGCTGCCCTCAAGTCTTCATGAAAGCCTCAATGAGCAGGAAGCCTTGCTGCCATCAAAGAAATGACTGAAGACAACAGATATATTCTTTAAGTTTTGACTAATATATTCACAGCATTTTAATTGCTTGCAAATGCATTTTCTGTCCCAAAATGTTGCCTTTCAGCTGTTGTGGTGATGCAGAATAGAAATTTGGAGGAGGAGGGAACATGGTGGTGGGTTTGGAAGCTGTGACCAGAGGGCAGGGAAAAATCTTTTGCAGGACATTTCTTGTCTTGAGGTTTGAAGAAAGCCACTTCAAAACTCCCCATTTCTATTGCCCATAGCTACACTCTGTGAACTCTAATATGAAATCATTCTCCTTGGCAGAGGAAAAGCAACATAATGTAATTTGGGTCCTCAAAATTATGATTCTTAAAGGGAAATGGGGAAAAAGAAAAACACGTCTTCTCACACAGAGAGATTTATTTGGAAGGTGTAATCTGTGGGTGTATGTGGAGGGAGGTTTCCAACTCACTTCTTCCCACCTGCAGAAGTCTGGGCTCTCTCAGGGTTTTCCCTTTTTGTGAAATTCAGAGGAGGGAGATGGGGTGGTGATGCTCAGCACAGAGGGGACCATGATCAGGTTCAGCCCCTCTGCCAGACAAGAGGGAGGAGTTCAATGGAGAGGAAAAAAAGATAAGACAAAGAATGGCCCATACAGGGATCAAACTCACAGCCTCGGTGCTGTTATCAGCTCCATGCTCTGATCAACTGAGATAATCCAGGGTCAACAGCAATAGCTCTGCAAACAATGGTCAACACCCAGGCATGAACAAAAGCGACCCCGGGGCTGCTTTTCTTTTGGGTCAGCTGAACATCCCCAAAGCTCCAAGCCCTCAAATTTTGGGAACTGCAGAGGACAAAGGGGGATGGACAGCAAAAGACCCTTTCTGACTGTACACTTAGCACTGCTGACTCTGGCTGCCTGTGATGTCTAGAACTGCTCTCTGATCTCATTCAGACACAAGAAACTCCTGCAAAAGTCATCAGAAGTTCAAGTCCAGCAAAGACCAAGTTCTGGTGGCTTTCACTGGAAGAGAAGGCTCTTAATTAAAAATAAATTTAACTATTACTGGGTGACCAGCAAAATGCAGGAGCTAAGGCCAGATGGAGCATTAAAGGGAAAATTGTGATTTCAGGCTCCTAAATGCTGGGAAAAGTTTTTTAAGACAAACAGATGAGAGTTCTGTGAGTCTCAGGAGCTGCTCTCACACAGCAGCCAGACATCGAGCCCAGACTGTGTCCCTGCAGCAGCACCACACACTTTACACACCTCAATGAATCTGAAGTAAGATGATCACAGAGAGGAACTTGGAATTTTCTTGTGGATTTGGTGGTTTTTTTTTCCCTAAAATTCCCACTCTTCCCAGCCCAGTCTGATTTATTTCCAGACTCCTTGAAAAAAAAAAAAAATTTAAAAAAATTTTAAAAAAAGTAAAAAATCTGTAGCTCAGGAGCAGAAGCAAACTTTAGGCAGGGGATAAACAACGTGCTCAGCCACTCAAGGCAAAGTCTGACGGCTCTGCTCATAGAGCTGGTTGGAAAACCAGAAAGCTCCCAATTAACTTTCCTGAAAGATTTTTCTTTGGGAGCAATTAATAAGTGCTTTGCAGTTTGACTCGCGTTATTAATTGGATTGGAGGGAGTTAAAAGCGAAAACGGTCTATATGATTTTTTTTTTTTTAGGGTCTGTAAACGAAGCTAACAGATGGAACTGACCAGTAACGTGCATCTGGCAAGCCGGGTTTCTTATAAACTTTCCTCCAAACAAAACCATTTTGGTGGCTTTGTTGTTGTTTGAAACGAAGTTGGGCTCCGGGCTGGCTGGGAGCGTGGCGGTGGGCTCCTCTGGGCTGCGTGGGAAGGGAGGATGGAGGGGGAAGGGGTGGGGACGGGNGCTCCCCGGGCGGAGCCCGCAGTCACTGCGGGGCTGGAGAGCCGCTACCTGCGGCCAGAGGGACAGGGGGGAGCCGAGCAGGCACACAGGACTCGTTCCCCGAGTGGCAGCTCCTCGGACCCGTGTCACTAAATAAATAAATCACGTACCCCTTCAGCTTTGCAACCCGGGGCTACGCAGCCTCGGTGCGTTCCCATCTCCAAAATATATCGGCACTTGGAAATGTCGAACCAGCTATCAGTGGTCTTTAGCTCTTACGTCCCCTTCCCTATTTTTCTTTCTCCTGTTACAGATGTAATTCCGTAGATCTATATGTATTTTATGTATAATTCCATAATATCATATGTCACTGCAGTGATACTTTGTGGTCTCACCCTAGTTTTATGTTTGAAAATGCTATTTAAAGAAGCCTGTAAGATAACATATTAGGCAGCTTTAAAAGCAGGTTGGAGTGTGGGGTGGACTTAAATTCGATGTAAATGAAAGGGTAAAAAAAAAAAAAAAAAAACCCAAACCAAAACAAACCACATAGTTTTCATTTAGAAAAAAAAAAAAAATACACTTAAACAGACACACATACAAATGTGCAATCTTAGATTCTGGTCAGTATTTAAAAGCAGTATAATCAACAGGAAGGAGCACTTACCTATTGAAAAGGATGGTTTAATAATATATATTTATATATATTAGCTTTATGTCTTCCCAATAAAATGTACACAAAATACCCCCTTCGATCAGATTAGTTCCCATATTAGCCTGGGTAAGAAAAAGCATTCTAAAGAGTGGAGGAAAAAATGTATAAAAATGTTGAAAGAACCTACAGTTCCTTATTAGGCGAAGATACAATATTTATTCCTTGTCTCCTGGGATGAAGCTCCTCTATCTATTGTCCTCCCAGTTCTCAGTGCTGATGCTTAATTTTCAAAACTTCTATATTACCAAGGGACCTACGACATCAGCCAAAGAAATACCCAGCAAGTACAAAATCTGATCCAGGGAGCAGCTTTTGTGCAGAGGGAAAATTTTGTTCCTACAGGTTTTTAAGGAGGTGCATGGAAAAGCGAGAGATCTGATCTATGCAGATACATTGCAAATTCTCTCTGTCTGTAGAGATTTTTTCTAAAAAAAATTGGGGAAATACATGAACTTTGGATTTTTCAATTTTTTCCTTTTTTTTTTTTTTTTTTTTTTCTTTATTTGGAGAGGGGAGTTTTATCCAGAGTTGGGGGTTTTTTTTTTTTTTTTTTTTTTTTTTTTTTTTTTTTTTCGGAGAACCAAAAAATGTCAACTACCTTTCCAGGTCTCGTCCACGATGCAGAGGTATTTTGTGTGTGTGTGTGAGTGTGTGTGTGTGTGCGTGTGTGCGCGCGTGTGTGCGGATGTGTGTGTGCATCTGTGTGTGTGTGGATGTGCCTGTGTGGTTGTTTCCATTTTTTTAAAATCCATATTGGACCGTTACGTTTAATTATAATCCGGCTTCAGAGATAACTTAAAGAAGTATAGAGAGAAAATTCGTTATGACATCTGTCGCCAGCAAGGGCAACTCATTACCACGTTAAAACCGTTGCCAGAACGAAAATCAGAATAATACCCCTAATAATATAATGAAGTGGAGAGAAATCACCACCAGCTCATCAGGAATGGGGAGTTCTCACTAAAAAGCAGGACTCTCCTTTCTTTCGAAACGCAGGGAAAAGAGGGGGGGAATTTTGGATCTGATTCGTTATTTTAAAAAGAAAGAAAAATAGGGGTTCAAAAAAAAAAAAAAAGAAGGGAAGGAAGGAAGGAAGAAAGGAAGGCAAGCAGGCGGCAAAGCTTTCTCAATGTGTAACGCTGTAACATAGGGACGGGACTTGTGTGTATTCTCGGTAGTTTCCTCTGTTTGATGACTTTTTTTTTGTGTCAGCCCCAGATATTACAGCTGTGATCAGGAGGTGGATGGATAGATGGATGGATAGAAGATAGATAGATAGATAGATAGATAGATAGATAGATAGATAAATAGATAGATAGACAGTTTTTATTTCAGTGCGTGGATTCCTTTCGCTTGACAGTATTAAGGGCAGGCTGGGCTGTTTATGATTTTTTGAACAGACCTTTATGGCACCAGCCCAAGGTAGGAAAGGATCTTTTGTTGCTGGGGTTGCCGCTCGCAGGCTTAGACGCTTCTGCAGGGGGAGAAGCTATGCAGGACAGCGTGCTTGGAAGAACCGTACCCGGGGTTTTCAATGATAAACCTCCAGTTTTGGGGTCTTCTTTTCACTTCTTCCTTTCAGATACGTCATGACGGATCAAACAGTTACCGTTTGATGCAGCTTGGATGCCTGGAGTCTGTGGCCAACTCGACCGTCGCCTATTCCTCCTCATCTCCTCTCACTTACTCTACCACGGGCACCGAGTTCGCCTCCCCGTACTTCTCCACTAACCACCAGTACACCCCACTGCACCACCAGTCCTTCCACTACGAGTTCCAACACAGCCACCCGGCAGTCAACCCCGACGCTTACTCCTTGAACTCTCTCCACCACTCCCAGCAATATTACCAGCAGATCCACCATGGAGAACCCACTGATTTTATCAACCTGCACAATGCGCGGGCACTCAAGTCCTCCTGCTTGGACGAGCAGAGGAGAGAGCTGGGGTGCTTAGATGCTTACCGCCGCCACGACCTGTCTCTTATGAGCCATGGATCCCAATATGGGATGCATCCAGATCAAAGACTCCTGCCAGGACCAAGCCTCGGGCTTGCAGCCTCGGGAGCAGACGATTTGCAGGTAAATAGCATGCGATCTCCTTTCGAGGTACCTTCCCCTCCCCTCCCCCTGTCCTGGAC